GCCCCCGGGCCCTGATTAAAGTAGCCCTATTATTTGTCTCACCCATCTGCCTGAATTCTTACACTGATATTTGTGTTTGTGATGGAAATGTTCAGGAACCTCAAATGAACTATGAAATGCTCACACTAGTAAATGAAACAAACATTCTGGCTGGTGCCACTTACAAAGCATAATGGAGAAGCTGGCTACAAGACTTCAGTTTCTGATGCATAATGAATTGCCAGCCAGATTGGTTGTGTCAGCAAAGTACATTCAGAGCAGTTTTCTTCATGCTTTTGACTTGTAGATGACCTGACTCTTTTTCCATGAGGCCATGATAAAAGAAGTAAATTATTAGTGAGACATGCAAAAAAAATAGCAATGCAGAAGACAGAGGGAAGTAAAACAATGCGCTAAGTATTCAGAGTGAAAATTAAGTCATTTGATTCAGCTTGCTCATTGCTTTTCTTTGTATATTACAGAATTCAATCCAGAAAGTAAACATCATATTTACAACTTGTAATCGGTCTGAAGAATCTTAATGAGATGCCTATCTGTTTAAATATCTGGCTTCACTGAAATCCATTCTTCCTCTGTTTTATAGGCTATGAAGAACTTAGCATCAAACATTCATATTGGTACAGTTCAAACACATTTTACTTGATAATAAATTTTGTCAAATAGATAGTATTCATTAAATTAATTAATTTTCTCAATCTGAAATAATTAAATTGGACTTGAAATCAGGAAAAGAGTAAAAAGAAGCTACAGGAATATTGCTTTGTGATTTGCTGACATAATCGACAACTTAGACACCAGTGGAATAAAGAGAATTCAAGAAAAAATAAACTATTTGTAACTGGCAGTTAATGAAATCACAAACTTGTCTCAGTTATGCAATTAGATTTTAATAATAAATGCAGCACTAAAGAGTTATGAATGTACAGAAGGTTATTTTATTCATGATTAGCTCTTTCCTAATAGAACAGACATGCAAGGTATTTTCTGTACTGAATTACCACCCTATGCAACTCCAGAATTTAGCTTGAAGTTTGGCCAAAGCATCAGAACGTTGTAAAGAAAAATACCAATGGTCAGCTCTTTTGAGTAAGCCCCTTGTAAAAAGTCAAATCATAGAACCATCCCTGGAAAAACATTCACTCCTACTGTAAATAAAGGCAACTCTATTGAAGCCCGTGGAGTTGAGTTGTCTTTAGTTGGTTGTCAATTTTGTCCTTTGTGTTGGCAAGACTATTTTCTATTTTATGTTCAGGCAAAAGAAAAAATGTTATTTTATTACTATGCTCCAAAATGAGCTAACATTTCCTTTTGTAAATGTTTCACATGTATTATGTATATACACATCTAGAAAAGCACATGTCCAACTTGTAAGAGCTGCAAAAATATTAGAAGATATAAAAAGATTTAGGCCATTCTTTTAGAAGAGAAAGTATTCAAGCCTGAAGGTCTAGACTACAAATTTGATGAAAATTGATTCAATTCTATTTGCTGACACAATACACTTCTCAGAGAAGGGAATGTCTTACACACACACATCATTATTTTTCCATTGGTCACAGCAACACTACAATTCACAGCTCACACTTCCTTTCCATTATTATGGTTAACTAGAGGAAGAAGCCATGAAAAAAGGACTGATTCTATAATGTAAAAGGACTTCAAAATTTATAGCAAATAAATGCAGAGGAAAAAAAGCAAAATACTCCGGAAACAAAAAATCACTAGAGGCCTTATTCACCACTAAATAACTCAGGTTTACAACTGTGTAACCCTTCTGAAGTGAAATGGTTTCAAAACTGGAGCAGAGTGAATCAACTTCTCAAATGTAATGAAATAATCAAGTTGCACACACAATGAAGCTAAGTAACAGCAGGGGCTAAGGTAGCTCTTCATGTTTTCATGCCCTCCACTCATTATTTGTTACTCTTCACATCAAATCTAAGATTAAATTGTAAAGTCTTTTTTTCATTTGCTCTGTAAAGTACCCAATACACTTTTGGGCACTTTTGTATAAATAGAAAGGAAACTGTTTAAATTAATTAAGCCTAATCACCTCCATTGGGATCACTGCTAGACTGACTGTTCAAGCGTCTCAGAACTCAAATGCTAGAACTAAAACCCTAGAGGTAAAGGATAGTATCTTCTTACTGAGTTATATCAAGCAACATGTAGTCTAGATTCAGCAAATGTACTGGGTTTTGTAATTTATGTTTCAAGTGGCTGGTCCAGGTGTGATTTAATCTGTGAAGTCTCTTCCTCAGTTTTATGTTCTTCAAACCATAAATGAGCAGCTAATCTCTCTGTGCTATTGCTGATCATTGGCTTGAAATGCTAATGTAAAATCACGGCTAAGGGCCACTGCAAAACAGGCAAGTATTGACATAACCAGACTTTGTGCATACTCAGGAAGAGGTGTTCAGAAATATAACCTCCTTCTGTATTTTTAACATTTACTCCATTTGAGGTGCTGCCTGTTGGAATCATACCAAGTCCTTTGTTAAATTTTATTGGAGACCAACAGACAGTGATAAATATGAGCATGCGGCAGCAAATTCCAGGTATTAGAAGGCATACCATCCCTTGTGCACAGAAAAAGGGGATTTATTATTCCATGCATGAGAAAAACAGATTAGGTTTCATTTATTCATCAGGCATTGTGTATTTTATAATTGATTTATTATTTCCCTTTCCAGTCATGTTTACAGCCATTTTTTTTTTATCTATTTGTCTTTTGTATTGATATTTATCCAACTATTTGGAAATGGTTAGAAATTTGTGTTACAGCAGGAAGTCTTTTTTTCCAAGAAACTACTGCAGGCAACTAAAGACAATGAGAGGCCTCTTGCACTTTACAATATAGGTATAGAGTTTAGTTGAGCCAAATTCTTTTCTCATTGAACTGAATTAAACCTGGAGTAACTGCATTGTGACCACCTGGAGGGCAGAACTTGCCTTGTTCTGCTCAGAACTGTTGATTTAAGAAAACTGGGGGATTTCCCACTGTTTGATGGACTTTTTTCCTACAGAAAACTCACATTGTTATAGGGATGTATGTGGTAGCCGTGTTGGTCTGAGACAAAAAGAAATGCAAAAATCTAAAACTCTTGGTTCCAAAATGATACCTGGAAAAGAAGCTGGAAAACTGTCCCTCTGGGTCCGTGAGAGTCTCTTTCCAACATCTGCTTCCTCTGTGCAAAAATGAAGTTTATTTCCTACCTATGGGGACTTTTTACCGCCTTGAACTTTCCCTGAGCCTGATGAACAGGTGCATGAGCCTAAAAGCTTGCAGAAAAAGATGTCTTTGCAATTACTCAGTTTGTCTCATAAAAGCTCTATAATTGTGGAACCAAGAGTTCTAGATTTTTGCATCACATTTTATAGCACATTAATTCATCCCTTAACACCCCACCCTGCTTCTCGAGGAATGTTTGGAGCCTGACACCTGTGCGGGGACTGCTTCTTAGTTGTGCTTGATCCTACGAGGTACACAAGGCGGGCCAGGTCCTCTAGACGGTTTTAGACAAGGCTCGAAGGTACTCAAGCGCCTTGGACGGCCGGGACCTAGGACGGCGGCGGCCAGCCCCGTACGCACAAAGCTCGCTGGGCACCGCCTGCAGCGAGGGGGCGCTGCGCAGGTAGGCGGGGAGCGGCTCAAATTGCCAGGTGAGGGCAACAAGCCTCATTGCTGAGGCTGCGCATGCTTGCGCATGCGCCCCGCCGTGCGGGGCCCCTGCCATTTGCCCGGGCACTCGGAGCGCCCTAGCGCCGACCATTTCCCCCGCGCTTGTCGCAGCCCCGCCCTGCACCACGTGACTGGGGAGGGTGACGCAGCACTTTTTTTTTTATTTTATTTTTTTTGCTTAGTTATCGCCCGCGGAGCGCGGCGCCGCCGCATCCAGCAGCACCAGCGCCGGGGCCCGGCCAGTCCCGCGGTCTCATGGGCACGGACGGCGGCAGCGCCAGCGCCCGGCTTCTGCTGGAGCAGGCGACCACCCTCAACCTGCAGACGGGCAACCTGCTCAACTGGGGCCGCCTGCGCAAGAAGTGCCCGGCCAGCCCCGCCGAGGAGGTGAGGACGGGCCACTGCGTCCCCGGCTCGCCCGCCGGGACAGCCCGGCCCTCAGCTGCGCGGAGCGGGCGTCTCGACTCTGGCCCCGGGGGCGGGCTCCCTTAGCAAAAAAAATCCCCTTTCCAGCGGGTCTTCCGAGCCCCCTCCCGCGTCCGTTCGCGGGCCTGGGCTGTTGACCCGGGACGGGGCAGCGCCTGTGAAGTGCGGGTTGTTACAGATAAAATAGGAGCTTTGCTGTCAGGCCCTGTCTCGGGTTGCCTCGTGCCAGCACAAAGAACTTCCCTGCGAGGAGCTGGAGCTGGGGCGGGGCGGGGCGGGGGCTGGCTTTCCAGGACCAGCTGGCAGAGCAGAGCCGAGGGGATGGGTGGGACAGCAACAGCCTTAAAATAAAAAAAATAAAAATAATAATAATAATAAAAAAGGTGGTTAGTATCTTTGAGTTTAAATGGGATCCGGTAGATTATGATAAGACGTGAAGTCAGTGATGCCCTCAGCCCAGCCTGACTAGACATGCTGCTGCCGCCACCAGGCAGTTGGTTTAAAACTTTGGGTGGAGCAGGAATCAAAGGGGGGTGCAAGTGTGCTGGGCACCACCCTGGATCCCCCTGGCCCTGGCCTCCTCATTGGTCACTCTGGCCTCATTGGTCACATTGGCCAGGCACTTCTGGTCTCAAGTCTGACCATGCCTGCTGCTGAAGTAAGCACCTGGAATAGGGGACGACAGACGTCTCACCAGCCCTGAGTTAATAGGTAGTGGGTGAGGTTTGTATTGGGGGAGAACACATCTCACTGCTCTGGTGTCCATCACTTGCGATCGTGTCCCTGATACCTGTAGTTCTGCTAAAACTCCTGGGCTCTGCCTTGCAGCAACAGATTGCACGGGTTAAATGCGACTCATTCATGCAATTAAAACAAAGGCCTCTTTTAACTGTTCTTGTTTATATTATTAACTTTTCTTAGTCCAGCGCTGTGAGGGCAGGAGGTTGCAGCACCTGATTCACCTTCCTTGCTCATTCCAGTTTCATAAAACATGATTTTCCTCTGTAAAAATTAGGTCTCTTCAGAAGAATTGCTCGGGCTTGCTTCTCAGAGCAAGCAAACTAACTTTGCTAGGAGTGTTTTTATTTCAGTATGTTGAGAGACTTGTGTTTTGACCATCCAAAAACAGAACTCCTGCTCAAGTCTTCCCTCAGTCAGTCTATCAATCAAATAAGTGTGTTAACCATAACAGATCTTCCTGATAAAGAATTAAAACTGTTTCTTGGATCTGGGTTGTAATACTCATCTGCCATAATATGAATTTTATCACATCAGGACAGCAATGGGTTAAATTACTAATGTGTTTTACAAGCTGGACTAAAAGCAAAATTTAATCTTAATAGCACACAGTAAGATGGTGGAGGTAGCTTAGGAAATGTTTCCATGCGTTAATCTTAAAGAGACTCATTACTTCATGGCCATTGTTTCCCTCATTCAAGGTTAGAAGCTTGTAACAATTTTTTTTTAAATTATGAAGGCTTTTCAGAATATTTGTTTTAAAATTTGTTATATTGGCAGTTTCTGTTTGGTATTGAAACAGTCTTTGTTGAAGTGGCAGGTGGCATGGATGTCAGTCACAAGAATATATGAAAATTGTTATCACAACATTACGACAGGAAATGTAGTGGTGCTGGCTATTTAGTGACCTAATGTTTAATGCAGATGTTATCAGTAAGCATAAGAATTGTGATTTTTTTTGACAGTTAATGTATGATGGTGGTATTGTCAATACAAAAGTTGGCTTCTCTTCAATTTATTACTTATGTTGAGAGAAAATGACTGTCTGTCTGAGAGCACAGGTAACACAATTGTGGCCCCTGTTTATTTAAAAGTGAATTATTCTAATTTAACCTACATTTATTACTGTATGACAGCTGTTCAGTAGCCTATATGGAATAAAATTTGGACCAGGATCTCCAACTCTGTTAAACAGATGTCTTTATCAAAAGGGACTCTGTGCTGGCAGATTCAGTACAATGCTAAGGACCTGCGTTAGTATGGAAACAGTTACTGTCATTCCAGGAATGATTTTCCAGAAAGAATCATTCCAGAATGATTTTCTGATGCCATGGAAGGAAATTGATATGGTTGCTGTCTTTTGATATTTATTCTATCGGTATGTGGGCTTCTTTTTTCAGGATTGTCAATCTAGTACCTATCTGGCTTCCATTTGAAATTAGGCAGCATTTGAATTGTGTAGTAATGTTTTGTCATGATCCAAGCTGCTTCACAGTTATAATCATAGGTGAATACTAGCCCTGCAGAAGCACTTCCTTAAGTCATTGATGCAGATCTTGATTCTAGTAGACTTCTTCAGTGATAGCTGGTATGGGAATGCTGATAGGACAAAGCAGCAGTTCTCTCCCTTCTAAGGTGAACCTCTGGATAAAAGAAGAGTGAGAATGGGGTATAAAAGCCAAGCCAAAGTAGGGATGGAAGGCTGAAATAAGATTCCTTTCTATTTGCTTCATTTTTCCTCCCTGTCTGTACCAGCAACTCTAATTTCCTTGTGGACTCGATATTTTTTCTTAACTCTCCTAACTGTACCATAATTATACTTGAATATGGAGAAAATAATGTAATAAAATTGCTGTTTTGTAGATACGGGACTGCATTCAAAAAACACTGAATGAATGGAGCCTGAAGATCAGTCCTGACCTAAATCAGGTAAGGGATGTGCTGTTCCTTTGCAAACAGAATATAACCAAATACTTTTTCCTTTGCTGCAAAAAGACCTGTTTTGAAAGTTGATTTTAAGTAATGAACTAATTGAGTTCTCAGAAAAATTATTTTCTGCTCACAGCTTAGGGATGCACCGATAGAGATTTTGGGGGCCAATGCCTATATTTAAAGAGGCATATCGGCCAATACCAATCCAATTTCCGATACAGCTGCCTGCGGCTGGTAAGTCCAGTGGTGGAAGGGGAGGGAAGGAGTGGTGGGGGGCAGATCAACACCCCTGTGGTGAGGGAGGGGGCAAGCACTGCCCAGGCAGGTAGGGGGGCCCCACAGCTCGCAGGGGGAAGGGGGCACTCCTGCTGTTTGCACCCCAGAAGGGCACAGGGGGGGTGTGCCCTCCGGATCTGTGCAGGGTGGGGTGAGCTGCAGTTGGGGCTGCGTGGTGCTCTTCTTTCTGGAGTCAGGGCTCAGAGCGGGCGCCAGCGGCACTGGGAGGATGCTGCATCCACTCCAGCTTTCACTGCTGGTCTGCTCCCAGCACTGCCACCTGCCCGCTGCAGCCCCGACTCAACACCCCACCTCCACCCATATGCCAGGAAGAGCTGGGGCTGCGGGGGGCAGCTGGAGGTGGCAGCACTGTGAGCAGAGCAGCAGCAAAATTTGGGGTGGATGCAGCATTCTCTCAGCGCTGCTGGCACTTGCTCCAAGCCCAGCCCCCACTGAGAAAAGCCCCAGCTGCAGCCTGCCCTGCCCTGTGCAGATCTAGGCCTGCCTCCACCCCACCCTCCTGGAGTACAGGCAACAGCAGGAGCCGCCCGCTGCCCCCCTCTCCCCACGGCTTTGTCCTTCACCTGTCCTGCCCCTTGGCTGAGCAGCACCTGCCCCCTCCCTTACCACAGGGGGCTTTGATTTGCAACCCCCATGCCCTTTCCCTCTCCCCTCCCCTTCCATCACACCGGACTTACCAACTGGAGGCAGCTCTCCATGCTGCCAGCTGTGCTCCTCGCTGCCTGAGTGCTGTGCTGCAGCTGCGTGCAGCACTGGCATTTATTGGCCAAATTATTGGCTCCATCAGGCCGATGTCCAATACAGCCAATATTCTTTATATTGGTACTGATCCAATATTGGACCAATGTATTGGTGCACCTCTACTTGCAGTAAGTTCTGATTCTGGGGAGAATAAAGTTGTTTTTGCTACTTTTAAATTCAAAAGTTAGTTCTGACTTTGTAGTAGAAACAATAAATTCTGAAGCACAGTAGTTCATATCTAATGTCAGTCCTGGGTTTTTTAGTTCTTGTTGTTGTTCTTCTCCTGCAAAGTGGGGGGGTGGCCACACGCTCTTTTGGGTGAGGTTACACGTGCTCCACTATCTTATCTGAAATGCCAAAGACAGAGAGAAGAAAAGGTTGAGCCAGCAGACGGCTACTGCCCGGATTTATAGCAGCATTCATATAAAGCAGCTCAGCTCACAGTAAGGATCCTGATAAGAGTTGAGAGGAGGGCGGCAGGTAGCTTTAAGAAATCAAATGCTTCTTTACCAGTTGCCTTGAGGGTTTGTTTCTAGCTGAGTGATGGAACAGGTCATGTCATGTAGCTTTGCTACCTACTTCTCCTTGGAGTGGGTAGGTCTGACACTTCCAGGGTAGGGCAGCGTTAGGTTACTACTTTCAGTCATTTCCTTCACCAAATTGTTTATGCTGCTTTTGTTAAAACAGTTAATGCCCTGAAGAGGATTAATCTTGATTGAAACTGACAAGCCATTTTTAAACATCATGTATTTACTGCAGGAAAAGCCAGAAGTCCTAGAATGTACTGTAGCTCAAGCAATGGAAAAGATAAATCCCGAAGAAAGGGAAGAATTGAAAGTGTCAGGTAAGAAATTAAATTGAAAGAATATTTTATTGGTTTGTACAATATACAAACCAATGGAAGAGGGAGGACCATGGTTTGTACAAACCTTGGAAGAGGGAGGACCCGGGCAACTATAGGCCCGTCAGTCTTACCTCAATCCTGGGGAAACTCTTTGAGAAGATCATCAAGGAGCACATTTGTGATGGGCCGGCATCAGAAATGATGCTCAGGGGCAATCAGCATGGATTTATTAGGGGGAGATCATGTCAGACCAACCTGATT